AGTGCTCTGTCTGCTTTCACGAGGGACAGGAAGTCCGGATTCAGTCCAAGGACTGCCCCCCCTCCCTTTGCTAGGTGAATGCAACCCTGTGCGATCCTCTTTCTCAGGTTGAGCCCACCTACCTGGTGTAGACCCCGCTGTTCTCAGTTTGGCACTCCAGCCTCCAGGGGGCGCTCCAAACACCCTCCCTACTTATGGGCCTCTCTGCACCCTCAACCCTCTCTGCCTACCCATCCCCAAGGAGAAGTGCTGACTAGGGTCAAAGGTAAAGGTAAAGGTAAGGGTCATGACCCCATAGAGTGGGCTTCCAAGATCCCACTCCTCGTCCGTATTGAGAGCCTCTCTGTGCCATGCAGTGTGCGGACAATCTCACATACAGGATTTCACCTGGTTCTCTTGACTACTCTGCGGCCGTGGTTCTCAACTCAGGGCAATTTGTCCGCCAGGGGATGTTGGGCAATGTTTGGAGACTTTTTTTGGCTGTCATAGCTGGTAAAGATTTCTGCAGGCACCTGGGGAGGTCAAGGCCAGGGTTGCTGTTGAACGTCTTACAAGGCACAGGACAGTCCCCACCACAAAGAATGATCTGGCCTCGGATGCCCACAGTGCTGAGACTGAGAAACCCTGTGCAAGGGGCCTGTACTACATCCCCCCATTTTATAGACAAGAAACAGGCTCACTGCAGATCATTCAAAGGCCGTGGCATAGTCAGGATATGGACCGAGACAAACGTGATTCCACATATCACATAACCACTGCGTTGTCCTTTTCCAGCTTAAACACCGTGTATGGCATCACACTGCCTACAGGTAAAGCCCAGTGCCTTGAGCTGGCCTTGAGGTCCTTTGTAGATGGTCCTGTGACCATCCTCCTGACAGGTGGTCGGGCCAAAATGTTTGCTGAGCCAGCCTTTGCGCTGCCTTCGTTATCTGTGCACACATGATTGCCCCAGCCATTCATACCTGACCCAGTTTCAATGTCTCCCCTGTCTGAAATCGTCCTCGCTCCTCCACACCCAAGTCAGAAGACCTCTGCCTTCATGAATCTGTCCTGTAGAACCCTTGCCACATGTGTTTTTACCTAGTAAGCAGCATGCTTCCTGTGTGCCAGACACCGCCTGTGCCCTGGCCATATTTCCTCACTCCGTACCGCAGTGACCTCAAAGCGGGCTTCATAAGCCACCTCTTACAAAGGAGGACATTAGGACTCAGACGAGTTAAGTGACTTGGGCCAGATCACATCACCAGGAAGCACAGGGTGTGCATGGGAACCCCTTTTGGCTCACACAGCCCATAGGCCTTACTCATCAACGGTCAGCAACCAGGTGTGGTCCACCCTCTGCTCTCAGTGCCCGTCTCTAGCATCTGAAGGGTGCTAGCTCGGGAGGGACACACACAGCAGGCCCCCTGAGGTTAGGAGTCCTGGGGCAAGGGGAGCAAACTGACATTTACCAAGTGCCGACCTCATCCGTTACCGGGCTGGGTAATTTACATCATCAGAATCATTCAATCCTCAAAGCGATCCTGTTGGGTAGATTTAATAATTATTATTTTTGTGGTTGCTAACACGAAAGGACTCTGAATGCTCGGTCTGTTCAAAAGTCTTACTTACAATCCCAGATGGGGCACTTAGCAGAGCAGGGCTAGAACCTGTGATATTCCTCTAAGATGTATTTTTTTTTTCCTGCTATGAGAGGTAGCTTTCGGTTGAGTAAGGGGAAAAATTTCTAGGCAGTAGAGCTACCCCCAAACGAAACACATTCTTTCTGGAGGTAAGGAGCCCCCTGGGCTCTGGGGAGAAACAAGCAGCGGTGGGTTCTCACCTGCCAGAGAGACTTCTAGGACGGGCGGGACAATGGCTGGCCAAATAGTTGGAAGTCTCTTCCCTGTGGCTGTGGTAAGAGGATGGGAAACCTCTTCCCATAAGTGCTCTGCAGAGGGTGTGGTCAGAGTGCCAGGGTGACTAGGCACTGTGCGCTAAAGGGCAATTCTGCCGGATGGCACCTGCTGGGGCCTTTTTCTTTCACTCAGCAGGCCTGCAGGGGCAAGAGCTAAGATTCTAGTTTGGGCTTGGAGAAATGTTGGATCTACTTATGTCTCTTGTCCAATCAAACACACAAGATTCTTCTGCAGTGAGATTTCAAGTCCACCAAGGAGACTTGGCCCCTCCGCTCACCTGGCAGGGTAGCGTCTGGCTTCTCTTGGGAAGAGATGGCCGATTTCTGGGCCAGGACTAGAATATTCCTGGGTTCCTGGCCAAGAAACCATCTTCATACCATCAATTTCCCCACTCATCATTTCGAATGTTTCTCAACTCTCAGATCCAAGAACAGTATCGGTAAATTCCCATGATGACTTTCTTTCCTCCTTTGGAAGAAAGGAGCTCCCTGTCAAGGACGCTGTCACTGATATGGCTGAAAAATTTCAAGGAAAGATGAATCCTAAATTTACACAGTTCATGGATAAATATGAGTGTTTTTCAGGATAGACTTACGAAATCATTTCCAGTATGAAAAACAGAGAATAAACTATTTTCATAAACCTGTTACCCTTGGCTTCATAGATTAAGAAAGGCAAAAATACTTGGGAGAAAGATTTACACTAGTATGCAACAGGTATTCTTTCATTCAATTATTTTGTCTCCACGCCAAAGGCCCCGATGCCACCATTGGCCTCTTTTCCGGTGAAAGTAGCATCTGGATCTTGAAGCGGAAAACCCAGAAGAATTAAAAATGAAACCATTTATGGGTGAAGCAAGGGCCACTCTACCCTGGGGACTTCTTGACAAGTCATCATCTTTGGCTGCTCTGACCCTTGAGGGCCTGCCAATCTCCTTTCTGTTGGTGTGTGTCCAGCCACGCTTAAGGCAACTGCCCACTAAGATCACTGGTGTGGTGGATTTTGTAAGATTGGCAGCCTCTGGCAGACGCCTGTGTGCTCCTGTTCATACAATATCAGGGACTCTCACATTCCTTCTCTGCGCGTACGTATCAAAGGAGCCAACAGACGACGAACCAAGCAGTAACAAGCAGACCTGGGGGATGTGAATTCTTTTCACTCGGTACCTGAGAAAGTGAAACAGTTCATATTTTCTTTGCATTCTAAAAACACTATGTATAATAGTTTTCCAGAAATTCAGGGAAAATAACTGAGCTCAAGAGCAGAAAACAGTTGCTTGGACTGCCGGATGGCAAGTAATACTTGTTTGTCCTCACATAGTGTTCACAATTTACAAACCGCTGTTATCCTTCGTTCATTGAGTCATTCATTCAACAAACATTCGTCCAATACCCATTATCACCGATGCAGTGGGGAACCCTCCATACAATGCGTAAGACACTGCTGAACCCCTAAAGGAGGAACCTTCTGTGGGCATGATTATGCATTTATGCAAACGGCTGTGAAACAACACAAGCATTGCAGCCATTGGGAGGATCATGCACTCTGCCAGCTGAGTGCTGGGCACTGGAGCTATGAAGATGGGCCCCAGGCAGCCTGTCTCCCAAAGTCCAGGGGCACAGGATTCCATAACTCCAACTCCATGAAATAGACGAAAAGACTGGGCTCGGTGGCTCAGCCTGTAATCCCATGCCTTGGGAGGCTGAGATGAGTGGATTGCCTGAGCCCGCAGGTTCGAGACATACTTGGGCAACTTGGTGAGACCTCATCTCTACAGTAAAAATCCAAAAGATTAGCCGGGTGTGGTAGCGTGGTTGTAGTTCCAGCTACTTGGAAGGCTGAGGCGGAAGGATCGCCGGAGCCCAGCAGGTCGAGGTTGCAGTGGCCGGGAGCGGCCACGGCACTCCAGTCTGGGCGACAGAGTGAGACTCCAACTCAAAAAAAATTAAATAAATAAATAGACGAAAGGATGCTCTTATCCTTGTTGTGCCAGTGGGGAAGCAGTGGTCCTGGGAGATGAAGTGACGCCTTTCCAATGATACTTGAGCAAAGAAAACATGCCTCAAAAGTAGTTTTAGCCATAATATCTCTGCTCAAATATGGTGATAACCCCATTAGTTATCTTCAGCTATTAAGTTTAAATGAAACAATATTAAAAAATACACATCAAACATCGCATTTTTACAGGCACTGAGCTATCTCTTCAGAGAAAAATGAAACAAACACAAAGGGAAAAGAAGCATGGTCTTCACCCTTAAAGAGCTGCCAATCAAGCCAGGGGACCGGGCTGAGAGGCATCGTGTTGTGGATGCCAAGAAGGCAAAATCTGAGATCCATGCATGAGGCCAAGGTGCTTTGGTGTCTGACCTGCCACCCATGCGCCGTGGACCTTTGTATAATACCCTCTCCCCCTGATACCCATGTCCCATCAGTAGAATGAAGGGTTAACCATGAAGGACCCTTCTGAAGTTCAGGATTTTTTTTTTTAGAAAACAGGATTTATTGAGAGGACAGAAAAGCTCCCACAGTGGGAGGGGACCTGGGGGACTGGGGGGGGGT